TTTCTTGTAATATTCCTTAATTATCTTTTTTATTTCTTCATTTTTAAATTGTAGATAGCCTTTTTCATCTACTAAATTGTGTATCATTTTCTTCTCCTTCTGTTTTTTAAGTTTATAAGTTAACCATCTTCCTGGTTTATTTGCATTTTCAAAAAAAATTGTTTTGATCTTTTTATCTGCTGTGCAAATTTTTCTGAATCCAACAGATTTAGTTTGTGTTTTATTGTTTCCATTTCTCTTTTCAAAGTCTTTTTCTGTGGGTTTTTTTGCAGTTCTGATTCTAACTTTCTTTTAATAGTACATATTGCTGTCTTTTCTGTTTGTTTTTCTTTGCCATATATGTTGTAGCTATACCTCTAAAATATGCTTTAGCTGTGTCCCTTACATTTTGTAATGTTGTATCTTCTTTTTTGTTTTCTCTAAAGATAAACTCTATTTCTTTTTTTGCTAATTCTATAAATTCTCTTTCTTTTAATATAGATTGATTCAAAGTCCATTTTAGTCTTTTTTGTATTCCTCTCCATGTCACTTTTAAGTGTTATGGTTATGGTTTTAAGGGTTACCTGGTTCTATCTCAATTTTCTGTGTATTCATCCTCAATTCAGACGTCATCCAAATCATATCAATTCTTGACCAGGATTTTTGACTATTTGAGTAAAAAGTATATTGTAGTTTTTCTGGATTAATTTCCCTCCAAACATCTTCTACTCCGATTTCTTCTATCATATTAAAAAATGTCTTAGGTAGTCTTCTTCTTCCAGTTTTCCCTGTTTTACTGCTTTTATAGTCAATTGTCCCATCTACTATCGCATTAAAGTCTCCTAATAAACAAATATTCTGGTACTCCATTTCTATTATTTTTCTATGGAGACTTTGGTAGAATTCTTCCTGGTTATTATTTGGTGCATAAATTACTACTAACAATGTTTGTTTTTGGTGTAAATATATTTCTACCATCACAGTTCTTCCTTCTTCATCTCAGTAAATCATTTTAGAATCTACTGTCTCTTTAATATATACAGCAACACTTCTTTTTTTCTGATGTGCTGATGCATAATAAAGTTCCCCAATTTTGGGGTATTCCAACAGTTTATAATGTCATTTTTTTATATGTGTCTCTTGCAAACAAATTATATCTGTATTTAATTTCTGTAGTTTCCTGAACTGTTGGAATATTCATGAGTAGGAAGAGTCATGTGGTAACTCAGTCACCCAATGTGAAGAAAGTGCTACTGAGTCTGTGCAAAAAGGTATTGAGTTAGGAGCTAGATTTCCAGTCTCAGGTTTGTCTCTGTATCTCTCTGAAAGAAGTCTTCATTTGTGCTATGTTACTGTAAAGAAGAATGTATGGTATTGTAAATATTTTGATATAAATATAGTTATTTTGAATCAGCTAAATGCAGTCAACTGTGAGAGCTTCTGATTTATTTTCACCAATAGAGAAATTAAAATTCTCTAACAGGTTATGGGCCCAGAGCTTACTAAGGGCTGCATTGTAATTTAAAGCTGGAAGAAATTGCCTGTGTTTAGAAAGTATAAGAACAAGGCAGAATTAGCAGAATGGCTGCAATGGAATTTAAGGAAAACTCTGTGCCTCGTTTGGGCCAGAAGAATTACATTGTGTGGGCTGCAAAAATGGAATGTTTGCTCAAGGCTAAAAAGCTGTGGTATATCGTAGAAAATCCACCACAAGTGTTTGTAGCTGCTGATCAGAAAAGTCATGATCAAGCTATGGCTTATTTCATCTTGAAATTAGATGATGAACAATTTCTAAATGTTGCAAATTTAAAGACTGGAAAGGAGATTTGGTTGAAGTTGAGAGCTGTGCACGTGAATGTTTCTGCATGCAATATAGTGCAATTGTCAAGAAAACTTTACAGGGCCTGTTTGCAACCAGGTGAATCTGGAACAGCATTTAAATAGAATGCAAAGTTTATTTTTGGACTTAGAACAATGTGGGATTAAATTCCCTGAGTCCCAGAAGGTTTTATTGGTGTTGAACAATTTAGATAAAACCTGGGACACAGTTTCTGCCATATTTGAGTGTAAAGAAGAGCAAGACTTAAATTTTGAGGCTTTAAAGGCATGTTTGCTTAATGAAGAAGAAAAGCACCATTTTAGAAATTTGTTATAGCAACAACAGAGACAAGTGGCTAATAGATAGTGGGGCAAGTCAAACAATTGTTAATGACTCTGAATTATTTTGCAGGTTTGTTCCAGTAGCACAAGAAGCTGTGGCTTTGGCAAATGGCCAGAAAGCAAAAGTCATTGGAAGAGGCGATGTAAAAATTCCATATTTGGAATCAAAGTTTACCAATGTGCTTTGTGTACCTGAGATGGAACATAATTTGTTAAGTGTGTCTAATTTAGATAAACAAGGTTTTGAGATCATTTTTATAAATGGGAAGTGTCTCATCAAAAGGAATGGGAATATTTGTGCAGAAGCCATAAAGGAAGATAATCTATATGTATTGCAGAGACAAAAAGTTCAATGTTCCCATATATTTTTTTCCCCTTTTCCTTAGCTGTGCTACTCCCTTTTATTCTATTGGCTTTTGAAAGCCAATAGAATAGACTCTCTTGAATAGAGTCTAATTCTATTGGCTTTCAAAAGCCAATAGGAATTGTCCAGGCTGTCTCTGCCCTGCTGAGCCCCCAAAAGTCCCATTCTGCAAACGGTGCTGCACCAGTTGAGTCGTCCTTGACTTATGACCGGTTGGGGGTCGCGGCATTAAAAAGGTTGAGAACCACTGCACTAAAGGTTTCTGCCAAATCTCGGTACTCAGTAAGGATAAGCTGAATCCCCGGCACTTTTTCGGCTACAGTTTGTAGGATTTCAAGGGACTCCCCATGAGTTTTGCAGATGGCCAGTGTCTTTGTTTTGTCATCAGTATCAGGTGTCCCCAGTCTTAATTTGCACATTCCCTCCTCCCACCAGATGTGAAGACACCATTTGTCAAGCCACGCTAGCCCCAAAATTACTGCTTCACTCATCTTCAGAACCACCACAAAACGGATTATTTCCCAATGCCAACCGATTTCTAAATGTACATGTTTGGTTAGGTGCATGGCAGGGGCACCTCCAATGAGGGACCCGTCGACCTGCTCAAACCCCATGGGATGAGGCAATAACTTGGCTCAGATGCCCAGTTTCAGTAAAGTGGGTAAATTAATTAAATGCTGAGAGCAACCTGAATCTATTAGGACACTCATATTCATGTGAGCCCCTATTTATTTATTTATTTATTTATGAGACTTATATACCACTTTAAGTGCAAGCACTCTCTAAGCGGTATACACCTTTAAGTGCAAGCACTCTCTAAGCAGTGTACACTATCTTGGGCACTATAAGTCTGGCGGGAATGGCAAAAGGGAATGGGCTGATTCACCATAGGGTCCTCCTTCCCTTCCTCGTCACTGTCGTACGGTGCCGGCATCTGCTGCAGCTCAACTTGGGGCTTGGCTTCGAGCTTGGCAGGAGGGGAGGCTTTGACGCCCGGGCCTTGACGTGCCCAGTTGGTTTTTTCTCTTCCTTCTCTGGGAGCTCTTCATGGTTTCGTGACAGCAATTGGCATGCTCCTGGATTGAGGGTGAGGAGTGGGGCACTCCACAGCACAATAACCCATTTGACCACACCGGTAGCACTTGATGGGAGCCCTGGCTGGCACTTGGGAAATGCTGGTGGCTGCAGAGGCTTGGGGACGTCAGCCATAGAGGCGTTTCTCTTAGACGTGCGGCGGCTTGGTTTCGGTGGTGCTTGACTTTTTGGGATGGTCCAGTTCGGTGTCTAGAGCCATTGACATATGGTAACACTCACATAATAGATTAGGAAAACCTCGAATGATGTAGGCTTGAAGCAAGTCGCGATCTAGCCTATGTTTGAAGTAATTGACCATTCAGGCCAGTGCCCCAATCTGTTAGCAACTCTTTTGAATTCACAGACGTACTCCTTTGCGGGGAGACCACTTTGCCTCAGGTGGTGGATTTTTTCTCGGCCATCAGGATTCGGGATTCATCTTCAAACTGACCCCTCAGTTGCTCCATGAATAGATAAATGTGCAGTTCAGGAGCCCCCTCATCATAGAGGTTGGTCACCCAGTCGGCTGCTTCCCCCTCTATGTTTGCCGCTACCGCATTCACCATCATAGCCCCATCTAGGTAGGCATAAATGTAATGATCTAAATGAGCCCATACCTGGTTTAGGAAGAAGGTCAACTTCTCAGGATTCCCATTGAAAGTGGGCTTGATGGGAGGTGGTTCGAATCTCGGCAGGGCCACCTGTGCCTGCTGCTGGGCTTGGGCGGCTTGCTGATCCTGGGGATGTGGCTGAATCACTCTCCGGACTTTTCTTGACTGGGCTCCGGGACTGGCATCCTGAGGCTGTGGCAATGGGCTTGGTATCGCAGCTGGTTGAGGGGTGGGTGAAGCAGCTTGGGCTCTGGCAGTTGGGCTGGAACTTGCTCATTCCCAAAGTTGACAGCAAATCAATTTATAACTTTTTGAAATGCATTTTTCTGGATTTTTTTGTTGTTCTGTCTCTCACTGTTAAAATAAACCTACCATTGAAATTATAAACTGATCATTTCTTTGTTAGTGGGTAAACGTACAAAATCAGCAGGGGATCAAGTAATTTTTTCCCTCACTGTATGTCTCTATCATGGCCTTTTATTTTTTCAAACACTGCACTCATTACCACTGTAACTGACTATTACATTATTATACAACTTTACATGACATGATATTACATTATACGCAGTTTCTGACATTACAACCTTATATAGTAGTATGAGATTATGCTGAGGCTGTCTCAGTACTTAGCTTTTCAAAATCTCATAGCATGGCAGCATGGTGCAATACATATTTGTTTGGTTTTCTGGAAAAAAAATAACGATATAAAACTAATTAATAAACAATTATACTTTTTCCTTAGATGATATATATCAAGATCATTGAAGAAATAGCTGAGTATATACAGTAAATATTATTGTCATTTTCCATAGAAAAAGAGGAATTTGATTGGAGAAAATATTTAATGGAAGATGAAGACCTGGACTTTGTTCCTGATCTAGAATCACCAGTAAGTAATAGAGAATTATAATTTGTACTGAATAAATAAATAACATTTAGCATTTAGTCAAGATAAATTTCTCAGGTGTATGTTCCCATGTAGAAATGCATTTTCTATTTTCCCAGTACATTCCTTTATCTATATTATATCATGATTACATGGTTGGTTTTAGTAATTTAGTTTCAACCTCGTTTTATATTTTTTTCCTAAGGCCGATGTAGGGGTGGGTTGTCTCTCCCTCTCCCTCTCCTTCTCCGATAATAGAAACAGTGTAATCACTGATGATTTTCTGCCAGCAAATCTTTACATTAAAATTCGCACTTTGTCTTAGAGAATTGTAGAATTGCTCCACTCTATTACTTCTGTTTATGGTGATGTCAAACTGGAATTCATAGTGCATTGTTTATGAAATGAAATAATTATTGAATATTTACATGTTTTAGATGCTATATTATACTGTAATATTTTTAACATTTTAATGCCTAATTAATTACAAAAATCAATTTAAGTTTCCACTGTGCCATTATCTTAGAGTGAAGTATATTTTGTGCTTTAATATTTTATAGTACTGGTCAGATGTAAGTGATGAAGAGGATACTGAACCTTTGAGCAGAGAAGACTCTGGCATTCAAGTAGATAGGACACCACAAGAAGATCAGGATCAAAGCAAGAAGTCAGCATCACTTGTCGACTGGAAAGGTATTTTCTGAAGCTGGTCTTTACATCAGAGTGGACTATACCAGTTCTTATCTTGGTCTATTTGACTTAAACTTTATGACAGTTTGTAGTACTGTGCTGTTAGCAAAAGTAGATAAAATGCATGTTTTGGAGGTATTTAGAGAAATGATTCATATTTACTTTATTCAGTTGGTCTGCTTGCTGATTACATGGCTCATAAAAATTTTGGTAGAACTCTGAAATTGTTAATAATAACTGTGCTTATGCTGATATAAAATTGTCCTTATAGTTGTTGGAATCAGAATATAAAAAAATCTTAATGTCCCTGGTAATCTCATTTTAGAAACTTAGCAGCATTTGTGTGTTCTTTCTGTGTCTATATATAAATTTAAGCATAATCCAGTGTTTGTAATATCTCAGTTTTGTTCATTTTATGTAGAAAACATGAATATACATCTTTTTAATGTATTTTATTAATTTTTTACAATAACAATTCTTTCTTAAACAAATTTTATTGGTTTTTTAATTTTTACATCAAGGTGCTTAGGAAACAACGTGGTGATGGGGACATCAATCATCCAAAAGCAAAATCATAAGTATATAACTCAGGTTAATTCATTAAAAGTTCCCGCTCTATTTCCCTCATATAATATTGCATATTCAAATTAATACATTTCTAAATAGAGTTCAATCAATCAAATCAGTCATCAATCACATTTCAGTTATAAAAATCCCAAATCCTGTTTTTAAGCCTTACTAATTTACAATTACCATATTCCAATTAGCCTTGAATAAACATATTATTAACACTTCAGGTATCCCTCATTTCCCTTTTCCCTAACATAATTATATCTAAAATGAATATATTATTCCAACAATAACATTCTTATATTTTCCATATATAATCTAATTCTTAATCTAATAAATCATTTATTAATATCATTTCTTCTCTAATCACAAACCCCTCTTATTCTCCTATTACAAAATAATTGTCTTACTTAAAATAAAAATATCAATCCAAAAGATACATTTCTATCTATTGAATATATGTTCTATCAATCAATCTATATCTATAAAAATCTTTTAAACCCATTAGATAAAGTTTACCCCTCCAAATAATTATATCTAAAACAAAATATTATTACAATTCTTACAGAATTCATGTGCTCCGTTAGTTATTAAATCAGTCAAAATTTCTAAAGCCTTTTTAACCCATTAAATGAAATTTTAAATCACATTTTTAAATCTAACTCTAGCTTTCTTTCTGTGCCAAACTGGTTTCCATAGTAAAGCTTCTGCGTCATCGAACCTCAGTATTTGAATAAAGGTATTTCTCGACACTTCAGACTGGTCAAAGTTCTCTTCCCTTTCTTCCAGTGTCCTCTGAATGGTGTAATCAGTTTTATTCCATGTTGTAATTATTAGTTGATTGCCCACATTATCACAATTTTCAGTAACTTGTGTCTGGATGTCAATCTGTTATTTTTGACATTTCAGGTCTCAATTAAAGTTATTCTTTGATCATCAAAATCCTCCATAAATTGTATATGAGGTTGTATAAAGTTGATTTGCTCAGTAGTTTCCACAATTTCTCCCGGTATAAGTTCATAGTTGAGTTGTAGGTATGGGCCCTCCATCTCTTTACGTTGTATATGTTGTTGGGTAGAGGCCTCTTTGAGGTTACTCTGTTCCTCCTCTATTGTTCCTTGGCCTATAGCTTGATCCATTAAAATTTGAGAATCAATTTGTGATTCTGAAATGTCATCTTTAATTTTTCTCCAAGATTTCATATACTCCGTAGCTTCCGAGATTTTTTCCAATATAAGTTCATAATCAAGTTGTGGGTAAGATTCCTCCATTTCAGTGGTGAAAGAATCTTTTAATCTTTTAATGGAGGCTATATTTAGTAAAAGTCAACAAATATCCACCTCCAATTTCTAATAGACAAATTCACCACCCAGCTGTTTCAAGTCATTTATCTTTTCCCTTTTATTATCATTTGAAGGTCAAATCCATCTTTCAACAGCAAAAGGAAATGCAGTTGCATTTACAGTAGACTGTAAAATCTTTTTTCCAGATTAATAAAAGTTTATCTCATTAGAAAAATGGAGAAAAAAAGAACAGATATCTCCAACATAATAAGTAGAATAATAATAATGTTCAATGATAGAATTTTTTTCAGGATCCCTAAGTATCCAAAAAATTAAATAGTGAATAAAAAATTAGCTGTTTTATTTCTTTAATTTCCAGTGCTCTTTTTCCCAAGTACACAAATGCCGCTCTCTTAAAGCAGGGAAGTATTTCAAAAGCTTTTTACAGGAAAGTAGTTAGGGCAAAGAGAGGGAAGGAAAGGTCTCACCTAGATTCTCCATGGTGGTTCTTTGTGCTTAGCTGTTCTTCTGACTTTTGGCTGGTGCAGCTGGGTGATTAGCCATTTTACTGGCTGATCTTTTCTCCGTCGGCCCTCAGGAGCTGGCTCGGGCCACGGAAGGAGCTGCCGCCCTTCCGCAGTCGACGAGGGCCTCGACAATGGTCGCCCCTGCAGAGTGACTTTTCAATCCAATTAAGGGTCTACCGGCGGAGGGAAAATGGCCAGCGAAGAGATGAGTCTCTGCACACAACAGCGTACATCGCAATCCGGAACCGGAAGTCACAATAACAATCTTTAATGCTTAGTGAACAGTGTGTTGTCTGGGTTCATATATTTAATCAATAGTAATTAATTTCTATAATTGATCAATATGTTGGTTAATAATATATTTCCTTGATCCTCTCTTCTTCCAGTAATATTCTCCCTTTGTCTACATTAAACAAATATAATTCTTAATACTTTTAATACATACAAAGTTGAATATAACATTTTTCTAATATTTGTTCAAATAACAATAACATCAACATATAACATCTTTTCTAATGAGCTTATGTTTCAATTGTATTTATAGAAGTCATCTTATTAAGTCGTTACATGTCCTGTTTTTGAGATTCTTATTTAAGCTTAATTTCCCCTCAGTATTCAACCCACTCTTATCAGTCATGATTTTCTCAAAGTTCATTATCTTTGAATATCCAAACTTTTCATTCAAATACACCATCTCAATATTTTTACATTTCATATATCATAAAAGTATTATACTAGTTATATATCTTATCCCTCTTACTATAGGGCCCCTTTATGTCCAAGCTTTGTCTGTTCTTTTGGCCATGTTCAAACAAGTATTTAACCATATAGTACATCATCTACTAATAGGGCCTCTTCATATCCAAACTTTATATATTTTTTAATTTTATTCAAACAAGTGTTTAGTCATGTAGTATTCCATCTGGTAAGTTTAATCACATTTCTTAACTCTAACTCTAATCTTCTTTTGCCAGGTCCCTTTCCAAATCAGTAGGTTTAGCTTTCCAGGTTGTATTTTTATAGATGTTGTTGGGGATAAAAAAGACAAGTTGTGTACAATATTCATTTTTTGTCTCCCACGCTTTGATGGTTCCCCTGACAGCTCTTTAATCCATTTTATTAAATCTTCTTTTTTGTCCACCAGTTTGTTTTGAGGTCCTGGAAGATAAAACATCTTTTTTATTTCCTTTGTTATAGCAAAATTTTGGGGATTTTCTTTTGTTTGTATTAAGTTGTAGTTTTCTTCATTTGTAGCTTCCACATTTGAGTCATTTTCCTCTGGTTTGTATTGTTGTCTGATTTTTTTGTTCATTCTTTGTCGTCATTTTTTAAGCGTTATTTAATTGTAAGTTTCAGTTAGAGATATGTTCATTTATGTTATCAAAGTTGTTTTTAATCTCATGATTTAAGACAATTGTCATTTGAATCTGTCACAGCATTGCATATATTTTCTCCTGGAATTTGTTTGCTTTGTCTTGAGTCATTTTTACTGCAGATCTCTGATGTTCCCAGCTGGAGTCTTCAGGAGGAGGTGTTAGGTGTGGTTTTCTATCACTGTTAGATAAATATACAACATCCATTTTATCTCCCCCCTCTAAGTAATTTTTCACCGGTACCATAGTCACTTTAATTAGCTTTATCAAACCAGTCCATCTTAAAATCCAAACAAACAAGTCTTATGTAGTTCTTATCTTTATATATGTTTTTTATAATCCAATAGGTTTCCAATTTATCAAAGCACTACTGAAAACAGTATTTTGTAACAATTCTTCTTTTCAGGGGTCTTATAATTAATTATCAACCAGCCAAAATTTCAATCCAAAGTGTTTAACCTCCTGAAAGCTTTCCAGAATTCCCCTTTAGAAGATTAGCCAAAAACCAAGGTTTTTCTTTCTCTGCAAACAGTTCTTAAACTTAAAAATGCAGATTAGTGTATTTATAATCCCAGAAGATCAGCAGTTTCTAAACATATATAGTTTCACTCTTAAGTAGATAGCTCAATGCTTTATTCCCAGCTGTTTTTTACTATTTCTGGGCATCTTGCCAAATTCTGAGTCAATACAGCTATAGTTTTTTCTTAATCCTCCACTAGATGTCACTGTTCATTTTCCAACTTTTAAAGCAAAGAGTTATTTTTTTTTATAATTTCATCAATACTATTTCAGGTATGAAGTTTTAGCAGTTTTCTTAGTTTTCAAATTTATCCAGACTGTAGTATTTTTAACGTCATTTCAATATATTTTTGGTCCCCATAAGAGTTTAATTCGCCACTTCCGTCTATGGGAGGATGGGGGTATAGTCCCCGCCATTCTCATTTTGGGAGGATTTTTGCTTCTTGGGAATCTTTTCCAGGAAATCAGATATAAAATAGGAGAGAGAAGATCAAATTCCTCACCCAGTTTTAAGCATGCTGGTTAGTTCTGGTTAGTGCCTTTGGATTTTGGCTACTGTTAGCTTGGGCTGGTCAGCGAGGTGTGGCCAGCCTTTGTCCTGTTGGGTTGGAGGGCTTCCCCCAGATCGAGCGGAATGACTGCTCTATTTTGTAACAATTCTTCTTTTCAGGAGTCTTATAATCAGAGCACCCCTCTTTTGTTCAGAGCGATCATCGGAGCACACCACTTTCTTTGTCGCCTCTCTGGAGCGACTTTATTATTATTTTTTAAATATGTTTTATTAATTTTTAACATACACCTTAATGTTTGTTAAACTTTGTGTTGTCTGGGTTAGTGTTTAAAAAACAATAACAATTAATTTCTATAATTCTCTAGTCCATATAATAGCTTTACTTGATTTCCTCTTCTTCCAATAATATTCTCTTTTGCCAACCTTAAATTAATATAGTTCTTATTTAAATAAATGACAATTAAAAATAAACATTTTTCTCATGTTTCTGCAAATAAAAACCACATCAATATAAGGCTTTTCATTGATTATCTTGATTACCTCGTCATAAATCCTGTTTATATTCTTATTTAAATTTGTTTTTCCCACAATATTCAAAACATTCTTACTGGTTAAGATTTTCTCAAAATTAGTTACGCTTAAGTATTTAAGTTTTTTTTCTCATACAAGCCATCACATTTTTACATTTCTCATATCTTAAAGAGAAATAAGGGAAAAAAAGACAAAGCAGAGAAAACATTTCTTTTATGTAAACCATCCCAACATTTTTATATTTCTCATGTCAAAAAAACAGACACAAAAGAAAAAAGAAAGAAGGCATACTATATTACTTGAGGGTTCATCCCTCTTAAATTAATCTTCATTTATATTCAAAATCTTTCTATTTCTTTAACAATATTCAAACAAATGTTTAATTTTTAAATACTCCCTCTGGTAATTCCCATCATCTAATTTCTTAATTCTCACTTTAGCCTTTTTTTTTTTTGCCCAACATCTTCCCTGTTCAATATGCTTCAATGAATCAAAGAATCTTCCCATAATCTTATAAATGTTGTTGTAGGTACAAAAGGCAAAACAGGAAGGTTTTGCCCCTTTGTATTCTTTGAAAATCTTTTCCTTTTTTTTTCTTTTTAAATTTTATTTATTATTTTTTGTCTCTCAAGTTCTTGTAATTCTTCTGGCAAAATCCATTTTGCCAAATCTTTTTTCTTTTCCTCAAACTTATTTTATAATGTTAAAGTGTAGTTTGTCTTTTCCATGTCCGGAGTTTCGTGTAAATTTTTTTCCATCTGGGTAAGTCATACTTCCTTGTATTGTTAAATTCCATCTTGAAATCTCTCTCCTGTCTCATATTCAGTTGTCTGTTTTTTCTGCTAACTCTCTATTTTTATTTTTTGTTAATTTTTATGTTGTAAAGTTAAATTGGAGATATGTTCATTTATGTTTTCAAGGTTATCTTTAATTTCCTTGTGGTTTGAGATTATTGTTGTTTGGATTAGTTGCAACATAGCATAGATCTCCTTCTAGAAAGTATTTGTTTTTTCATGGTATATTCTTTCTGCAGATCTCTGATTTTCCATGATAGCCAAAAATCAGGGTTTTCCTTTATCTGCAGACAGCTTTAGAGTCACAGTTGAATTAGTATTTGTAATCCAGAAAGATCAATTCTTTTTTTTTTTAGAGTTTATAATTCTCACTTTGTAGAAAGCCCAAGATGTTTTCTTTTTTCTTTTGTCATAGCTGTTCTCTGTTATTGAGACATTGAAGGTCACCAGAATCAAATTTATCTTTTCCTTGACCTTGCCAGTCCCTGTAATAGAGCAGCTGTTGTATATTTTCATCCACCACTAGATGTCAGCATTAGTTCCTTCAGTAATAGATAATTATTTACTTCTATTTTCATGATATAAAAGGAAAATTTTTAACAGATTCCACCGATTTCAAAACTTAATATAAGACTTAATTTCAAATTAAGTCTTATATTTTCATTTCAATATATTTCTGTTGCCCCTGAAAAGGTTAATTCGCCGCTTCCATCTGCAGGAGGGTGGAGCAAAGGTCTTCCTCACTTTCGGAGGCTTTTTGCTTCTTGGGATTTTTCTTTTTCCCAGGAAATCAATTTCCAAGTAGAAGAGAGAAAAATCACTGTTCTTGCCCAGTTCCAAACACGTTTACAATCAGCTTGAAGTAGTACTTTTGGACTTCGGTTGCTTGTAACTTGGGCTAGACTTGGAAGTTAAGCTAGCCTCTTCTCCTGCCAGTTTCTGGAGGGCTTTTCCCAAACCGATCAAATCGACTGCCATCTCTCTGCAATCAGCGGGACTTCCCCCTTCTATGTTGCCTCTACGAGGCTTTAGAGTCCCCTGGCAGGTAGAAATCAGCCATAGGTTGCAGAACCCCATGATTCCTTGGCTGCTGCTATACTGTGCAAAACTGGAAATCTCTCCGGGTGACTTTAGACCCATTTAGGGTCCCTTGGCAGACCAAAACTAGCGGTGGAATGCGAAGCTCTGCAATCCCGCAGCCATGTGCTACTGCGCAAAACTAGAAGTCTCTATACAGTATATACATCTTATATTTCTATAAGAGAACCTCAGAATAAGCTAATATCTGCATAGGCTTTCTGAATAAGGCACCATGCAATATACAACTGAAAACATAATTATTTAACATTTTTTTTAACCTGGGTTTTGAACCTGGAAAGTCTACAAAGATGTTTAAAAACTTTCAGAGCTAGCGTTATGCAGTGGTTGAGATGCTGGACTGGGTAGTTATATGGTCTTTAACCTTTCTTCTTCATCTTGCAGTGGACTTGATATGGGCTGAAAAATATAACTAAAATTATTAATATGTAAAAAAGTAAAACAGAAGCAAAACTAATAATTTCTTAAGAATGCAATTAATTAAAAAATCCCCTCTTAGAAATTTCTAATACTTTTTAAAAATATAACATTACTCTGTGTAATAGCTGGATTAGAGCAGAGCTTTTTCCGGAAAGAGTTCTGCTAAAAAAAAAGTAGACATTCTTTTCTGGGAAAGATACTCAAATTATGGCCAAGCCTCTTTTGAAATAGTTGCTTGCCTCAAAGTCACTAAATAAAAAGTTTGTGCAAAGTACCCTTGGGCATAATCTGTTTATTCCCATCTTATGTATGGTAGTTTGTACTGAGTTTTCTTATAAAAAAAAAACAAGATGTCTGTTCTTTTCTGAGAAAAAAGTGCAAGAATTACCGTAAATGCCGGCGTTCAAGGCGACCCGGTGTATAAGACGACCCCCGTCTTTATAGCCGGGCCGCATTCCTAGAACGTCGTCTTATACGCCGGAAACTACCAGTATTTCCGGCGTATAAGACGACTCGGCGTATAAGACGACCCCCGTCTTTGGCGCCGATTTCAGTGCTCACGGAAGTCGCCTTATACGCCGGCATTTACGTAATTTCACTGAAAGTGAATATTCGTTTAGTTTTTTGTTGCTGCTTCTGGCGTGTGAATTTTCAAATGTACACTGTAATGCTTGTGTCAGTACACCAAAATGCTCTTGATATTAGGATTTCACTTGGACAAGCCTCCACATTTGTTTGAAAAATTCTGGTAATAAACAAGTTGATTCAAACATTATTTAGCTCTCTACGTGTGATGGATAGTGAAGACTTTTTTATATAACTGTTTTCTCTCTAGATAAACCTGATGCACGTACATGGTTAGAGCAACATGTAGTGGCTCAGTATTGGACTGGTAGAGTTGTTCGTTTTTCCCATAGTTTGCATTTTCATTCCAATTTAGCTTCTATATGGTGAGTTGCCAAACACATTTTTAAATTATTATAGCTGTAATCCACAAATAGAACTATATTGACTTCTTACTGTTTCCCTGTACAAACTTTGTGATCAATTATGTGTTGTAGAACTATACAGGTAGTCCTCGAGTTATGACCAGTTGCTTAACAACCATTCAACATTACAATGGACCTCCTCAAAAGGTACTTATGATCTGATTTTGAAGTTCCGATGCTGCCCCTCCCCCACAATCGCATGACTGCATTTTGGGTGCTTGGCAACTGGCCAGTCATGTGACTATGATTTACAGTATTTTTGCCAGAAACCAGCATTTAGTTTCAGCAAACCCCCCTCCCCGACAGCGAACTATGGGTTTGCTTAATGACTATTTACTTAACAACTGCAGCATTCGCTTAACAACCACTGTGAAAAAGTTTGTAAAATTGAATCCGGTCACATGGTTATTCCTTTATAACTGTCATGATTTATGGCCATAATTGACAGGCTCAATTAGGATTGTAACTTGAGGACTACCTAAATCCTTATTCAAAGTCTCAGCTAAGAGATAATAAGAACGGATTTGAAGGTTACAAGATTCTTGGATTAGGTAGTATAAAATGCTTTAAGATTATCAAAGTAAGTTTTGATTTAATACACCAATATAATTTTTTAAATGAATGTTTTTCAGAATAGGAATATAATGCAGTTTGTCTTTTCAAGCGTTACCAGTGGTTTGTTGATGTTGTTCTATAAGTTTATTGGTCCTATAGGAAAAGAGAATGAAATAAATAATGTTGATGTTTTTTACCAATACAATCAGTTAAAAGTATTAAAGACATTTTTCTCTTAGGGAACAGCACTTATATAATAGTGATCCATTGTATGTCCCAGAAGAGAGAATTCTTGTCACTGAAACGCAAGTCATTCGTGAAACAATTTGGTAAGAAATTGTCAAAGAAAAAGCACGAAGTTTGTTTTATGTTGAATAATACATGCTATCTATGTTTAATTTTAAAATTCAGAAAATGGTTTTATAATACTATTTGTTTTTATTACTGTGTTAATATTTATTTCTAAAGCAAATTGTCTTAATCAAAATGAGGAAAATAGTTTCACAAAGCAAATGATGCTATAACTTTTATAGCCTATAATACTACTTGCTTTTAAAAAAATGTCTGTAAAAAGAAACAGTAATAAAATGTTGCTTTTATAAGAAAAACATTACAATTTCTTTTTTCAAAAATGGATGGGTTTGTATCTATTATAGGTACCATTTTGCAAATATATAAGGTATGAAGTATCTGTTGAAAATCAAGGATTTTTACAGTTTCAGTATGTAATGGACACTGTTCCAGAGTCACTTGTTTGTGAGATGGGCAGCTATATAAATTTGAAAAATACTTTAATAAATAATGCTACCTTATGAATATATGTTTTCTTATATTTTAAAAAGGCATGTGCTTAGATCATTTTTATTTTTTCAGGCTTCTTTCAGGTGTAAAAAAACTCTTTATATTTCAGCTGAATGATGGAAAGATAACTGTGAGAAATGACATAACAGTAACCCATTTGACACATGTGAGTGAAATAATCAGTGAATATGAAATAAGCAAATATAGCAATTTAATTCAATATTAATTCTTTAGCCAGCAAATAAAAAATAAGACAATACTGATTAACCCTTGCTTAATTATCATCTATTCAGTTATCACTTGAAGTTACGTGAATGATACTTCTCCAGAGTCACAACCATTGCAGCACCCCTGCAATGTCATCAAAATTTGGGTGCTTAGCAATTTGCTGGCACTGCAAATGTGCTTCAACTAACCCCACTTTCCTATCTCCCCACATCTTCCCTTTTGGCTACTCTGCTTGATGGTGGTGATGACATTGGTGCTGGGGTGGCCCACAGTCTTCAGCAGTCTTAGCCAGCTGTCACTACTTCTGGGCCTTTACTTCAGCACCAGCACTGCCACCGCTGCCAAAGAGTACCACAGTGGCCACCTCCCCCCCCCCAACAGCACAATGCAAACCCTAGTTGCCACCCCAGATGACTTCAATATCTTCTGCTGCTCACAAAGCTTGCCTGGCTTGGCCTTATTTAAGGCAACTACTAGCCACACTGGACCTTTTTCCTGAGACTGTGCATGCCCTTTTCCATATTGCACGCTGCCCTCTTGCAATGCATTTAAGATTTTTCAAAATTCAGCAGAGGGCCATGCCCACCCCTCTCCAAATTGTTCACTGCCTTCTCATAATGCTTTGGAAGGTTTTAGAAGCATCATGACAAGCATTTCGCTGTTTGAAGAAATGTGCCCAAAGTGCTGATATGAGGGAGATAGGTGGGTGGGGAGAGTTCAAAAGGAGGCAGTTCCTTACCTTACTGAGGGCTGGGAAGGACCAAGCTGGGAAAGATCTGGGGCAGGGTGTGTCCTTGCCTAATGATGACCCAATCAGATACAGGTTGTTTAGTATAAGGATAAAGATGGCATGTTTCTTTCCTCCCAATAGAATAGATTGTACTTTATTTTGTGTCTTGAACTACTCTGCAAACTTTTCTATGTAATATCTGCATTTTGTAATTTCTACATCTTATTTCTGTTTTCTTTTTACAATAGGTAAATAAAAAAATAAAATCTTTTATTTTCTAGAATTCATTAAGATCAATGCTGGAGCGCATAGCTGCCTATGGGCAAGTGGTATTTAGGTTACAAAGATTTATTGATGATGTCATGGGTCACAGCTCGGAAAGTGGGATACATGGAACCATATCCACTCCCAAAAAATCTGCAGAAGCCCCTTTTAGAACCTATCAAGCTTTTGTGCGAGCTCTCTATAAATATTTCATTAATTTCAAAAAGGAACTTACAGAAATCGAGAGATGCATAATCAATGAAGGTAAAATAATTGTATTTTAACTGAAAATTTTATTTTAATCTTCTGAAGTGCTAGCTTTCTATCTGTGACCATAAAAACACGAATCTATACTTTTTTGTAGATATTACAGTTACCCTTTCCACAGTCATAGATAAGATGTCACATCAATTAGCGCAGCTGAAAGTAATTCATAAAGTTTTTAGCACTGGAGTTGCTGAAGTACCACCTGATACTCGCAATGTTGTAAGAGCATCTCATTTGCTCAATACCTTGTACAAGGCAATTCTTGACTATGACAATATTGGGGAAGCCTCTGAACAGACAGTAAGTATAAAAAAACTTATTTAATAAATAATAAATTATTATTTATTTAGTAATTATACTAGAAAAACAAACCGTAGTTTCTATTTAAGTTAAGTCTATAATTCTTTTGATTCATAGAAGACTGTTCTAGTCTAATGTCATCTTATTAATCAGGCATATATGAGTTCAGTTAAGTCTCTGCCCCAAGTGTAATAATACCTCATCTGTGTTTCCCTCGTTTTTTTAAATAAATCTAGCTATCAGTGTATTCTTTCACATGATTTCCTATCTACATGAGTTAATATATGTCGATTCAGTGGCAACAATTCAGCTATATACCATACATAAATAACAAGCTCTTATAAACTGTAATGATATAAACTTATATAAATGATAGCTGGACTTCTCCATAGCAACAAGAAAAAAGTTGCTTGAGATTTCCTGTTTTAGAACTTTTAATGCCAAATTATTTGAAGTTCTCAAATTCACAGCTTCTTTTTGACAATTCATAAGCTGTAGAGTTAAGAGAATGTGAAATGCAGTTTAATAAAATCGACTCTTCTTCAATCAGATATTGCAGCACCCAAATTAGGATGTGTAATAAATTGTAAAATGGTGCACAGGAACAAAAAGTGGCTGAGTTGGAATAGAGATAAAAATTTATTTGTGAGTAAGTTTAATTTTCTCTCATAAGGATTACATAAATAATACAATTACTATTTTAATAGCATAAACATTTTATTGCCAGGTAACTGTTGCTTAAAACAGTTGCTTCTGGTTTTCTGTTCAGAATGTATAACCATTAAGGCTCCTGCCATGCTGCCCAGCCAGTCAGAAAAACCAGATATTTTTTGCTTATTAGCTGAAATCAATTATTATTATGATTCTCCAGAATGATTGGTTTGACTACTTCAGTTCTTTTATTTATAAGTACAAATGGTTTATGTGCGAAGATATAAAAATACATTTTTACCTACAGGAAATTCATTTGTAGGCAGTTATAAACATGTTATTGATGCACAGCTCTGTTAAACAATGAAAAGTCACTCAGACAAAGCCACCTGAATATTGTTTAAATATGATGTTCTAAATTATTTTTAGGCTTAGCTGGGAAAGAAAGTTACCGTATTTTCTGGTGTATAAGACGACTTTCTAAAGCGCGGAAATTGGCGCCAAGGTCGGGGGTCGTCTTATACGCCGAGTCGTCTTATACACCAGAAATTACAGTAGTTTCCAGCGGATAAGATGACTTTCTAGGCATGGAAATCAGCGCCGAAGTCGGGGGTCGTCTTATACCCTGGGTCGCCTTATACGCCGGAAAATACGGTATATGTGTAATATTCTGATCATGCAGAATATAGAGCAGCTTTAGAACTGTTTTTCTACTCTCCCATTCTTATAGCAGCTTCCTAAATTAGAAGTTTGCTAGAATAATACAGTATCTTCCCATCATATATCATGTGAGAAAAAATGGGCTCCAGAACATATATTGAATTTAAAATTTACATAATGCTTTGTATGTTCAAGCCTTAGTTCAGCATTTTGTTTTTCTCATAGTGATTAATCAGATGTCTCTACTAATAAGCATCCTTCTTCTGTCATCGTTTGTCTGATCATAAAGGCATGTTCCCCTAGACCAGAGGTGTCAAACTGGTGGCCCACAGGCCAGATGTGTCACCCACAGCTCCACAAATGCAAAAAATGTGCTATGTCATGATATGTCATGTAATGCGATTGTGTTTGACACCCGTGCCCTAGACCTTTAGGTTATGGGCTTTTCTAAATACTGGGTATATTTTATAAATTTTCTACTAGTGCTGTTATTTCTTAAGTCATTTAGTGTGTATTATTATCTACTCCTCCCTATTCTTCTTAATTTTTCATAATTTCATTTCAGGTCTCTCTTTTGTTTTCTCTGTGGGTTGAAACAGTAAGACCATACCTACAGACAGTGGATGAGTGGATTGTCCATGGTAATTTATTTGATCCTGCCAAAGAATTTATAATTCAAAGGTAAGGATAGTGAAAATCTTGTAGATACCGTATATTCCGGCGTTTAAGGCGACCCGGCGTATAAGATGACCCGCGTCTTTGGCGCCGAGTTGCATGCCTAGAACGTCATCTTATATTCCGGAAACTACCAGTATTTCCGGCGTATAAGATGATTCGGCGTATAAGACGACCCCTGTCTTTGGTGCCGATTTTAACGCTTGCGGAAGTTGCCTTATACGCCGGCATATACAGTATATTGTTATTTCTAGGGTGTAGATCATTGACTTTGGGATGATAGTCTTGGAGCCAAAACAAAGCCTGCTTATATATTGCTAAGTATCCATATAATGTACAGTTAGATTTATGTAATCCAAATATAAAACTCATTTATTGTTAAAGTTCTAGGTTGCAATTGCAATTTTAAAAATTGACATATTACTGGGAGAATACTTCTAATTGGATTCAGTGCTTTAGTTATTTTATTCCCATTTTGTGTGGTGTAATATCACACTTATTATAGCTAATTGAATTCAGAATATAAAAATGTAAGAATCTTCCTATTTCAGCAGTTGACCTATATATCTTAATTTTAATCTTGGTGTTTACTTAATCAGTATGTCAAAGCAAGAATATATAGTATTGCATACTACATTGAAATTTTAGTTGGCTGTGATGAGCCTTCTTCAAATCTTTTTATTTGCTCTGAATCTTATCCTTAACTGCAGAACTGAAACCTGCAGAGAGTGGATGAGTATTCTTTTCCAGTTGTTTGAAAAAACTATTTTAGATTATTATTGTAATTATAAACACTTTTGCATTGAAAATAAACAAATATATGCAATTTTCTGAGAAATAACTGACAATTACCTGTTTTTTTCTGCAGAAACAAAAATGTTTCTGTAAATCATAGAGACTTTTGGTATGCCACCTACACATTATATAGTGTATCAGAAAAATCTGAGAATGAAGAGAAAATGAGTGATAATACTAGTGCCAGTTCTGGCAGTGATCAAGCACCATCAAGCAGACAACATACCATGGTTTCCTTTTTAAAGCCTGTATTAAAGCAAATCATTATGGCTGGAAAGTCCATGCAGTTGCTAAAAAATTTGCAGTGCAAGGATGGTTCTCCACAGCCAACTACAGCCCGAGGTAAAAACTGAATTTCCGCAAAATATTTTTTATTATATAACATTACCTATATTGATTTTTAGAATTCATGTAACTGTGTGACTTGCTTGTAAATTGAAAAATGAACCGTTTAGATTTTTAAATAGGTATTTCTGATATAGCAGACATTCTACAGCAGGGGTGTCAAACTGCTGGCCCACGGACCAGTTCCATCATACCAAAGCCATGCCCACCCCATTGCCAGCAATGCAAAAAGAGTCACGATAAGTTGCGACATGTCACGTGAAGTGGCGAGTTTGACACCCGTGTTCTACAGTTTCTGCCTAATTGGTGCTTACTTAATTTTAAGCTACTTTTAAATATCAGTGATATGACAAAACATTTTACTTGATTTTAAATATAGATAATCCTCAATTTATGACCATTTGTTCAACAATGATTTAAAGTTACGATGGACTTAGTCCAGTATAATTTTTATTAAGATACTTTAGTTAACGTGTTGTTATATTTCTTAATATAAATCAGGATTAAGACAGTTTGTGTGGGATGATGGCTTGAGATTATAGAATTTCTAGTCCAAAACACTTAAGGTTCACTAGGTTGCCCATCCATGGAATAAGTGGTAATCTGAAATTTGTTCCAGCTTCATTTGATCCTTAGAAAGTAGCACCATCCACCTCAAATCAGAGACTATTTGTATGTCAGAAAAAATTTGTACCATCAATTAATTTTGGAGAAAAGGTAGAAGAAACTATAATTGTATTAGTTTTTAATAGAATAAGATGAGATCTGAGTCCAGTGGTGGTAGTTGAAATAACAAAGCCAGTCTAAGTTTAGAGTAATAGATAATTTTAAAAAATCTGTTAGCAGGAAATTTCAAATGTATATGTTTATACTCTGCTGCAAACCTACAAGCCTTTAAGCAGTTTACAGGAACACCTAGGATCAGTAAACCACCCACAATTAGATTAAAATAATAAAAATCTTTAAACCACATTAGAAGACAAATGTAACTTAATAAAACAAATATAAAGTCAGGTGTGACGAACCAAAGGCCCGCCAGAAGAGTTCTGTTTTTGGTTGTTTCTGGAAGATGGCTGTGATCAGAACTAAACTTCAAAGGGATGCCATTCCAGAGAGTTGACTATACTGCAGAAAAGCCCTGCCTCTGGCACATAGATTTGGTGGGGGGACCCCTGTAGTGACAGCTTTCATCTGCTCCTTCAGTAAGAGCCATGGGTCCAGGACAGTGTTTCTCAATCTTGATAATTTTAAGGCATGTGGACTTCAACTCCCAGAATTCCACAGCCAGCATCATTATGTTTTTTTATATTGTAATGCACATTATCTCGATTTTTAAGAGATTTAAGCAGGCATTCATATTGAAAAAGAACATACAGGGCAAAATTAGCAAGCCACTGTCTACTTCTTAAACATGTTTAAGTGATTAGGGCTCTTATAAGACATCTGCAGTTCCTGACACCTGAAAATTAAATGAAAAACCTAGACACACTATATCACTATAGTTAAAGTGTCTATAGTGATACTTGTTTAAAACCTTGTTTTTTATTATTACTGCTGCGAAATTAATACTTCTGGTTCAGTTTACCTCTTATGTTTTGTTTGACCAATTAGATTTGTCAGTGGAATCAAAAACTTCAAATGGTTTTTTTTCCTGGTTTTTATGAACAATTGTCTTGAAGAAGCAGTAATCTATGTTTCAATATTCAATTCAGGTGCAGAAAGGAAGAGCTTGTACATGTTATTTTTGGAATCTGTGCAGTTGCGTCTACGTCATGGAGATGAACATATTCAAGATACTTTAACAGAACAGCAAGCTACTAAAAAAAGCCTAATAAAGATGCAGTCCATTGCAGAAAGACATTTAGAATTGGATGATATTCATGATCCTTTACTAGCTATTAATTTTGCAAGGTAATGTAAAAAATTCAGGGTTTTGTTGTCTTTTCTCATTTTTCAAACATTGGTATGATTCTGCCAGACAAATACAAAATTTCCTTGCTATTCCATAGCATGTATGTGATTTGGAATACAATATTTGGTAGCTTATCAACAAGTTAAATCTTTAGAAGTCATACATTGGTAACCTTTATTATGCTAATTACTGTCTGCTATAACAGTTGTCAGGATATTGTATCTAAAATATAAATACATAGAATAATACATTGGTTAAAGTAAAATATAGATAATAGAAGTATGACAGTATACCAAATGCAGAGAAAATGGAGTTTGCTTAATGTACCAAAATTGAATACAAGAGAAAGAACTGTATGAAGCTCAATAATGATCCAGTTTCACCATAAATGAAAATGTAATGCCAAACCTAATTATGCCAGAGGTTGCAGCTAAGAAGGGAAAGAGTTTAGTCAGACAATTGGATTAACACCAGACAAACAACCAGAAAACAATATCCTAATCAAGGAACTACCAAGGAGAAAACCACACTTTACTAACACTGGCAGGATATAAACAGGGAACACACACCACACTCACTAGCACTGATGATGTTATATAGTTGGATAATGAAACATCTGTAAGAAAACAATGAAGCAGAGAACACCAATGATTCCATAATTAAACTCTGAGTTATATAAATTCTGTTGTGTAGTCTTTTCCAGATCATAAAATCCTCTAGTCTAATACTTTATTTTTTTATCAAACTGTACTGTATTTTCCGGCGTATAAGACGACTTTCTAAACCCTGAAAATCTTCTCAAAAGTCCGGGGTTGTCTTATATGGGTAGCTGTTCTCTGAATTTAAAACCAATCTGCCCCCTAGTGGCCAGCCCTATTTTTTTTTTTTTTTTACAGAAATAAGCACTAAAACAGTGTATTTACTTCTTATACCTATAGCAGCAGTCATGAATATATGGAAAAAAAAATTGATTCAGCAAATCAATTGATTAAGAAAGATACTGGTCAAAGTAAAAATTAAGAAAATAGATGATGGGATCTTCCAGAGAGAATATTTAAAAAAGAAACATTTGTTTGAATATGGTTGAATACATACGTCATTCTAAGAGAGATGAATTCCTTAAATAATACTGTATGCTTTCCCCCCCTTTTATTTTATTTCTTGATATAAGTAATATAATACTGCTGAAATGGCCTAGATGAAGTAAATGTTTTAGATAATTAAATGTGTCTGAATTTAGGGAAATTATAATGTATAAAAAAGAAAAAAAATGTTTTGAATAAGACCTAAAGGATTAGCTGACTAGGCACATTAAATGGAATATTTAAAGATTAAATATATTTTATCAAAATAATAAGAACTATATTATTTCAAGGTTTGCAAAGAATACATTTTGGGGGAAAGGGGAAATCAACTAAATGTACTATTTATAGAAACCAATTGTTAATGATTTTTCTTTACAAATGTAAACCCAGCAAACACACTGTTTACCAACTATTAAGTGATTTATGTTTTAAAAAATCAATAAAATATATGGAGAAAAAAATACCAGCTGAGTTCAGGAAGCATTAGGGAAGCAGTGGTGGGCAACACTCGCTTTCTAGCAACAAAGGAATGGAGCTCCTATTGTGCTCATCTATAAACAGAAATTCAATATTGTACCGTATTTTCCGGCGTATAAGATGACTTTCTAAACCCTGAAAATCTTCTCAAAAGTTGGGGGTCGTCTTATATGCCCAGTCGTCTTATACGCCAGAATATACGGTACATTTAACGATAGCATAAATACAGTAGTATTTACAGTAGTAGTAATATACATTTGTATATTATTAATTTTTCAAAAGCAATTTCTTATACTGCTATTTTGTAACATAAAACATAATTGTCTGATTTCTTATGGGTTTTTTTAAATGGCCAGATGTGAAGATTAGGGAGACTATTTATCCTACACTGAATGCATATCCGAGTTTATGTCAGATGTGTTGAAATAATATAATGTCTTCAGGAAGTACATTTTCCCCCCTTTATCACCAAGCAATCATCAGGGAGAAAATCAATGTGTTTTGCTAAGTATTGACAACTTGATGTCACATACTCAATTGCTAAATAAAAACAAACCAACTAACCAGCTACAGAACCTGTGAAAATCTGTCTCTCAGAATTAGAGACCGTTTGTATCCTTGTATTTTTGATATGGCTTGCTTATCTGTAACATATTTGTACAAATTCTATATTTATTTGTTGGAATTAATATAAAGGACTTAAAGTTAATCCTTTTTTGCAGATTATATTTGGACCAGGGTAACATGCATGAGACACTTTCTGCTGATGATGTTTGTGTAGATAGGTCATCTGAATCAGTTACATGCCAGACATTTGAGCTGACCCTGAGATCTTGTCTTTATCCTCACATTAACAAGCAGTATCTAGAGTGTTGTGGGAATTTAATGCAAACTTTGAAGAAAGATTATAGGTAAGAATTCACGTAAGTTACCTGTTTTGACATGTAGCTAATATATATTTTCAGCGTGCCATAGTAAATATTTACTTGTTCACTAAAGTCCTTTTTGTATATTCTTCAGCTCTAGAAGAAATATCCTAGTAGCTATGACTATGTACTGTTGTGATGGATAGTTTGAAAGTGGGAACTAGATTGCACTTTTTATCCCTCATTGCACTTGCATGTGGTCTGTCGTGGCTTCTCCCTGACTTGCATATTGCTTGTATTGGCTCTCCCTCAGCCTTCCCCGACCCATGTATGGGCTGCACTCTCCTCCACCCTGCCTGCTGCATTACTGCACTCCTTATGTGGGACTCCTGCCTTTTTCTGCTTAATGTTCACGTATCTTAAGGTTACAGCTCAATCCCAGGTCCAATTGTTGACATAACCCAAGAACTACTTGCAAGTTTAAAATTATGACTACTGTTCAAGTTATAAATAGATGACAAGAATTTGGAATAAGGTTAGATGCTCATTGCAAGGAAACATAATTGATAAACAAATTAGATGAGGAGAAGAATGTTGGGCAAGCACCATAAGATATTGTATTCTGTAAAACATAACTATGTGAATCAGAAATTAGGAATCTTCATTAACATAATTCATTGAGATTTATAATTTTTAAAGTAAACATAATTAATTTCTCTTATACTAAATGTCTAATATCTACATCTTCATTGCCTAAGTGACGCACTGAAATTAAACTATGAAATTTGTATTTCTTGCTTAGGCTGGTAGAATACTTGCAGGCAATGAGAAATTTTTTCTTACTAGAGGCTGGTGATACCATGTATGACTTTTACACATCTATTTTTGATAAAATACGTGAGAAAGATACATGGCAGAGTGAAGCATTCCTAAATGTCCAGCTTCAAGAAGCAGTTGGACAACGTTATCCAGAGGATAGTTTAAGGTAATAAAGTAACTACATCTAGTAGAGGAAGAAGGATTTGCCATAGATGTACCATTTCTATTGTAAAAAGGAATTGACTTTTAAATGTAAAGGAATTTAAAACAGTAACTTTAGCATATTCTACTTCTGTGACGTTAACATAAACTAAGTTAATGTATTTTTAATGTGAATGAAGGCATTCACATTAGGTTAATACTATCCAGGTTATTGCTATAGTAATAGAGATCTAGATAACGTACTTAGTTGTAATTTGGGTCTTATTTAGTATGAGTGAATTTTTATAAGTTAAAATTAAAAGTATATGTACTAGCTAGGAGACCACCAATTTTAAATGATTTGAAGCAGCCACTAATTACATCAGTTTAAAAGCAAATACGATTATCTGGTTTAGAATGCAACCATTGCTGTGATAGCTAATATCCCATGTTGAAATCAAATTTCCCATTGCAAAGTTTGCAACAAAAGTAATTGTAGATGGCAGATCTTATCTGAAAACATTTGTGTTGATTTCATAATCATATAGTTATCTAATTTGGAACAAACAGCTGATAATGACCACATGTTTTTGTATATAGGTTATCAATTCTATGTGAAAATATTGATATAGCAAAGAAGAAGTTGCCTGTTCATACACTAGATGGCTTAACACTGAGTTACAAGGTAATGCTTGCTTGCTTTGAAATGAAAGGTTTAACATTAAAGCAAAAAAGGATACCAAATTTTTGTTTTGTTTCCTATTTAGGTCCCTTGGCCAGTGGATATAGTTATAAGTATTGAGTGCCAAAAAATCTATAATCAAGTTTTTCTCCTATTATTACAAATAAAGTGGGCCAAATACAGTCTTGATGTGTTGAGGTTTCATGGTAAGAGGATTAATTCTCTTAATGAAAATATAATTCTAAAACCTATATTACCTTCAGCTTCTACAGAAGTATAACACAGAGAGAGGAAAAAATACGAAAAGGAAAAGATACAGTAAAACCTAGTTTTTTCTGAATCAGCATTCAGTGAACTTCAAATTTAGTATGCAACATTTTATTTTAGAGTTTACCTGAAATAATGGACATTTTAATGCATTTGTGGGAATGATGTAAATTTACCCATGTGATGTTAAAGCGCTCATGGCATAATTATTCAAATAAGAGAAATTATGTCAGATACATACAGTAGTGTAAGCTTGGGTTTAATAGACATTTTATTTTAACATATACTCCTTTTTCATGTAAAACTAACTTTTCACCTAAAAAAATATGTGTGAGATGTTGAAATTTATATTGTTTTGCTTTTTTCCCTATTATTTTTTTCTTTTGCACTTTCTTCTTAAGAACTAGTCACAGCAGCAGAAAAGTTTCAGAATAATAGAGGTATGATACTTGATCAAGAAGCAGTTCTTCAATTTGGATTTCAGTTGGAACCCATTAAACAACAAACTCATCGCATGTTCCTTTTAAGAATGAAACTTATGCACTTTGTTAACAGCCTACACAACTACATTATGACTAGGGTATGTGATATCAATAAGATTAAAAATAACTTTTTGTAAACAATCAAAAGTGATTTTAAACTGTTTCTTAGTGTAGCAAAAAGACTGCATATTTTTGGCTGAAAATATATAATTATCATGCCCAGCTTAGCAGCTCTTGGGATTTTAAATAACAAATTCTGCTAAAATAAAATGCTTTCAAATGCATGATAATTTCTTCTGTAATATATCTTTGCTAATATCAAGCACTGCAAAATAAATTTATTAGTCATGAGAATTCAGTTTTGGTTAGCATTCTAAACTATTCCAGATGTTGTTGTATGTGCTTAGAGCAGGGGTATCAAACTGCCGGCCCACGGGCTGGATGCATCATGGCAAAACCATACCCACCCCATTGCTGGCAATGGGAAAAAAGTTGTGATGATTCGCGACACGTGATATTGCAAGTTTGACACCTCTGGCTTAGAGGAATATAGAGGGAAAACCAGCATTTGTTCTCCAATGTAATAATAAACTGTATTCCTCCCAAATAATATGTACAATTAGAAAAAAGACAATTCAGATTTTTATTTAGAGTCATACTTACTGTCAAATATTCAACTTTACATAATATTTGAGTCTCTGGCTATATTTTAGGGATTCTTTCTTAGATGTGGTTCCCAATTATATCATCATTTTTAAAAAGGGTTAAATTCTTTTCTGAAACTCTTTTAATCTAAGGAATGCATACATTACCATAATTATCTAATTCAGCGGTTCTCAACCTATAGGTCGCGACCCCATTTGGGGTCGATCGACCATTTCTCGGGGGTCGCCAAACAAGGCGATCTGCCATTTTTCCCCCTCAGGGGGCGCCGCTGCGCATGCCCGCCGCGCATGAGGGCGCCGCCACGCATGCCCACCATGCATGGGGCGCCGCCACACATGCCTACCGCGCACGGCGCCGCCGTGCATGCCCACTGCGCATGGGGGTGCCGCCACGCATGCGTGGTGTGCATGCGCGGCACGTTTGTGTGACGGGGGTCGCTGTCACACAAACGTTGAGAACCACTGATCTAACTGATGTTCATTGTAATTAGAAATGTCTTGTATTCTGAAAATTGAACTTTGGTGATTACAGTGCAAAGATTTTTAGGGAAATCTAGAGAAAAGGAATTTAAATTTTGGTTCATTATACATTTTGCCTCCTTTTACAAGATTCTTCATAGTACAGGCTTGGAGTTCCAGCATCAAATAGAAGAAGCAAAAGATTTAGATCAATTAATCAAAATACATTATCGGTATCTTTCTACAATCCATGATCGTTGCCTCCTGAGAGAAAAGGTACATTAAATATTAGTTGTATGGAATCTGTATAACATTTGCAAGGGGTTGGGATTATTAAATTCTAACAGTTAAATTATAATGCAAGCAAATTAATATTTGGAATGTTAATCTTTAAATTATCACATTGAGTACACAGAATAATACTTTCACTCTGTCCAATACTTCAGTAGAAAAGAAGTTCATGGTGAAGTCTGAGTACATATCAATTCAGGATTGTAACTCCGACACAGCAGATTTTTTTCCAGTAATCCCTTTGGCTTCATCTCATGCATGATAATACAGAGTTTGTCATGGATTGGTAAATTCCAAATTCTCAGAAATATTAATATTTTCAGTGTTATTTTGCCCAAAATGAATTTAATAAACTGATAACCAAATTTTATAATTAAGACAGGCCAATGTAGAACAGGCCCACAGCTCTAGGCCAGTGATGGTGAACCTTTTAGAGACCGAGTGCCCAAACTGCAACCCAAAACCCACTTATGCATCATCGGGTGCCAGGTGGGTGTGGCCCATTGGGTGGCATGGCTGTGGTGGTAACAGCAGACTGGGCGGGACTAAAAAATTCAATCAATCAATTCCAACTTTGCAAGATCTTTTTTTTCCTCGCAAGAAGTTGAAATTGACTGATTGATTGAACCATTTTTTTGGACATGCTTAAAAGGTTTTATAAAACCCAGCTGAAGGCCTAGGACTGGGGCCTATAAATGTATTTGGAATATGGGTACTTCCTGTAGGGTGATTATCTGCTTTACTTTACTTTTCTTTATGCTACCCATTCCTAAAGACTCTGGGAGCTAACCATCTTTTTTTGTGCTGTAAAAAGAAATATTTACAAAAATATATTTCCTAAATAAAAATAACCAACTCACAAGATATAATAATCCAATAATATATTAATACATTACCAATATATTAACATGCTCAAAATTTTTCAACTTTAAAAAAATAAATGAAGAATGGAATATGTAAATCTACTTTTATCTACATAAATTTGTGACAGTAGCTGTTACCTGTTAACATTTGATTTCCAGGTTAGTTTTGTGAAAGAAGCAATAATGAAAGTTCTGAACCTAGTATTGATGTTTGCAGATCGTTGGCAAGCTGGTTTGGGAGTCTGGAAGTAAGTACCTGTTCAGTCTATGCATCACAATCAGCTGACAGAATTGAGACTTGTTTTGCTGACATTTGTTCTTTGAGTGAAGTCTTATGAATAAGATGAAGCATCGTGTTGACAGATTGTGTAGACCATAATGGAGTACATTTACATTGGATCTTAGCACTTCTGGACACATTAGCTTCACAATCAGTGTGTAAATTGTATATTCAGAAAATAAATTAGACATAATCAGCAATAAAAGAAATTACATTTTTGGAGCCCTTTCCTGTATGGTAATAGGTACCGTATTTTCCAGCGTATAAGATGACTTTCTAAACCCTGAAAATCTTCTCAAAAGTCCAGGGTCGTCTTATACGCCGGGTAGCTGTTCTCTGAATTTAAAACCAATCTGTCCCCTAGTGGCCAGCCCTATTTTTTTTTACAGAAATAAGCACTAAAACAGTGTATTTACTTCTTATACCTATAGCAGCAGTCAAGAATATATGGAAAAAATTTTTGATTCAGCAAATCAATTGATTAAGAAAGATACTGGTCAAAGTAAAAATTAAGAAAGTAGATGATGGGATCTTCCAGAGAGAATATTTAAAAAAGAAACATTTATTTGAATATGGTTGAATACATATGTCATTCTAAGAGAGATGAATTCCTTAAATAATACTGTATGCTTCCCCCCCTTTTATTTTATTTCTTGATATAAGTAATATAATACTGCTGAAATGGCCTAGATGAAGTAAATGTTTTAGATAATTAAATGTGTCTGAATTTAGGGAAATTATAATGTATAAAAAAGAAAAAAAATGTTTTGAATAAGACCTAAAGGATTAGCTGACTAGGCACATTAAATGGAATATTTAAAGATTAAATATATTTTATCAAAATAATAAGAACTATATTATTTCAAGATTTGCAAAGAAGACATTTTGGGGAAAAGGGGAAATCAACTAAATGTACTATGTGGATTATAGATTATAGAAACCAATTGTTAATGATTTTTCTTTACAAATGTAAACCCAGCAAACACACTGTTTACCAACTATTAAGTGATTTATGTTTTAAAAAATCAATAAAATATATGGGGAAAAAATACCAGCTGAGTTCAGGAAGCATTAGGGAAGCAGTGGTGGGCAACACTCACTTTCTTAGCAGCAAAGGAATGGAGCTCCTATTGTGCTCATCTATAAACAGAAATTCAATATTGTACCGTATTTTCCGGCGTATAAGATGACTTTCTAAACCCTGAAAATCTTCTCAAAAGTTGGGGGTCGTCTTATATGCCCAGTCGTCTTATACGCCAGAATATACGGTATCTATTTGTTCTGAATGTTCTTATAGTGAGAAATCTTGGATATCCTGAAATATCATTTGAAGTATTTTCAGCTGGTCTTGTAAAGATGCACAGGCATCTTTCTGGCATCAAATAATTTGATATCATTGCTGAGTATTCACAGGAACTAGACATAGTGGTGGGGAAAAAAAATAGCCATCAGCTGTATCCAGAGAAATATATATTTTTTTCTTATACTGCTTGCCTCAGATTGTGATTCTTAAGCATAAGTATCCTGTTTTCATTTTTTAAAAAAAATTAATTTCCCCTCAGTATTCAAAATGTCGCTAATGTTTATAATTTCAGAGTAAGTTATATTTGGGTAACCAAAAGCTTCCCATATTCAAACTCTTGGCATTTTCCTATTTCCCTTCTCATACCAAAATGTAGTATTCTAATTACAAATCTTATCTTTCTAGTTATGATACTTCCATTTCTAGCAATTATATATTCTCCACCATATTCAAACATCTAGTTAATAATATAATATCCCATCTAATGAATCAAAACCTCTATTTTCTTCAGTCTTACTCTAGTTTTCTTCCTTTGCCAACTAACTTTCCAAGTCAATGCATTTGAATCATCACACATTTTTTCTTCTGTTTTTGTGTATATTATTTGGAATAAGAAAGACCATTCAGTTAAAATATTATTGGAAGAACGAACCCATTGATATTCATTAAACAGCCTCCCTCCTGCTCCAATTCCCCACAGTTCTCCTAACAGCTCTATCTTCTATTCAGTCAGTTCTTCCCTTTCCTCTAATGTGTTCTGTATTCTTGATTGGTAAGATGTCTTTTCCATTTCCAATATTATTGCTCCGTCTTCTACTTCTTCAGTTGTCTGAATCTGTCAGTTAGTTCCTTTCTTTAGGTCCTCCATCTTTGGATCTGCTTCCTCCAGTTTTCCTTCTATTTTCTAAGTTGATAGTCCCTTCTTTGTAGTCTTGTTCTGGGTTTGTAAATTTAGTTTAGAAAATTGTTCTTTTATCTCCTTTGTGTTACTTCTAGTCTCATCATGAGCTAAAGCAATAGTCTCTTGTATTGATTTCAACATGGAGAGAATTTATTTGTGATCTTCATCCATATTTTCTTGGTGATATATCAAACTGAAGACTTTGGGGACAGGTATTAGAGATGGTTTTTTGCCATTTAAAGCTGAGTCTGGAACATCCATTTCATTTTTTGTAGGTGGTCTTTATAATAAAAATTGTTCATCAATCAAAGAGTTGTAATCCAAAATATTCCATCATCTCAAGCAATGATGTGTGTTTGTCTTGCAGGGAAATAGTTCCACAACACAGCTCTAAAAGTCAGTTAATATTTCTATTTGTAGTTCAGGCAGGCCAGTTTCATGGTAGTTCATTGTCTCTGCCACACCGATAAGCAGCCCCGAAGTTTTTTTTCCCTTTTTCTCAGCTGCAGTTTTCAAAAATGAAAGTTCCCAAGGCCAGCAAGAGTCTTCTCTAAATCTGAGCTTCAAGCCAAGTTTCCTTTAGGCATAACAAATTGTAGTGCCATAATTCACCACTAGATGTCATTAGTGCTGTTTTCCAGCTTTTTAAATCCAAACTTATATTACAAGATTTTCACATCTTTTTTTTATAAAAACAAAAAGTCTCAAAAGCACTTTTAGTCTCCAAATTTCAAAGCCATATATGTATATTAATTCTAAATTAATCTTGTAATTGTCTCTGTTTCCCCCAAGTAATTAGTTTGCCGCTTTTCTTCTCCTGAGGGAATGGGGTGGAAATTCCCCTTCCCTCTCTCATTGGGGAGGGTGCTTTGGGCAGTTTTTTCAGGAAGAAATCTTAGAGTCATAAAGAGAGGATAAGATCTCACCCAATTTCATCCACGTTGCCATAAGATTGCTTGTTTGTGTTTATTGTCTTCTGTTGTCAGCAGCTTCTGACTGGCTACGTAAATGTAGACAGTCTTTCCCTTGCTGGTTTGGAGGACTTCCTCGGATCAAACGGAAGGGCCGCTGCCCTCCCATGATCAACGAGCATCCCCTCCTTGCTTGTCGCCTCTACGGGGCAACTTTCGACCCTTTCCAGGTCCCCAGAAGAGTGAAATTGAACACAATAGACGGAGCCCCGTCTTCCTGCACCCATTTTGCCACAACGTCAAAACCAGAACTCAATAAAGTTTTGCATTAGAGATTGGATCGTCTCAGCTATGCTTACTTTGTTGGGTTCGTCAGTCGGAACCATGACACAGTGTGAATGATTCCAGTAAGACTTCAAGGTGTAGATTGTTTCTTGTGATGAAACTTTTAATGATTTGCATGGTACAAGACTGAATATGGAACAAAAGATAAAAGATCTAGAAAGTGGTTATATCTTTCTAATAAAAATATTTTCTGTTCAAAGCATTTTACTACAAATATCTTATGTTATTGCTCAGAAAGGAATAACAATATGTTTCCCAAAACATGATTTTTGTTTGTATTGTCTGTCTAAATTACTTTTAGGATGGAATCCATAACAAAGATGGAATCAGATTTTAAAAATTGTCATATGTTTCTTGTAACAGTTCTAAACAAAGCAGTCTGTAGAGGCTCTTTTCCACATTGTGAGTATTTAAGGAAAAAAGTATTTAATAATTTGTTGTTAAACATTTAGAATAATGTGTGTGCAATACTACTTTCTTAATAGTTGTATCCCTAAATATTTTAATCATAACACTACTATAAGAAAATAATTATATCCTATATAATTGGAGATACATTTTAATTAGAATTGTTAGAAATATGTATTACTTGACACTAAAAAGTATATCATAGTTTTATCCATCAGTGATATGTTTTCTTCAAAAGACAGTTTACTCTATTTTGATCCTAAAACTTTACTTGTTTTTGATTCACAGTGGAATCTTTAGCTTTGTCACTCATGGCTGGAATGGAGCAAACTTAACATGCCATACAAGTATGAAATTATACTCAAGCAACAACTTCTTTGAAACATTGTGATGTTAGCTGAAATGTCCTGTGATTTATGTGGCAGGCATTTTGTTTGATAAGTTACAGTACTTCAGTCCTAGATTTCTCATATGTATAATTTTATAGGTATTACACTTGAAACTGTACAAATGTAAATACTAAACTATCATTAATTTGTCTGACCAAACCATATTTTTATTTTCCTCTGTGAGGCACAAAGAACAAAACAAATGTTGTAAAACAAACCTTTTTAAATATTCCCATTAATACTATTAGTGCATAAGTTATCAATTATCCTTAAATGTAATAGTACTGTAGTTGGATTGAGTTTTCTTTTCCCCTCTTCAGTGTATAATCATTTCTGATGAAATTAAATTCACAACTGTAGTTGCTGTGATAAATATCAGATTTCAGTAAAATTGGCACTGGAAAAGTACTTTACGATTATCAATTTTTATACTGCATACAGTTAATTTTTTGCCATTGTTAATAAATATTACTGAGCTTATAAATTTTGCATTGACAGAGAGTCTTAGGTTAACAACCATTCAGTGACTATTTGAAGTTACAACAATGTTGAGCATTGAAACTTAGAAATAGTCCTCAAATTTGTGGCTGTTGTAGCATCCTGCTGTCACATGATCACCACTTGTGACCTTCACTGCGGGTTTCTAATGAGCAAAATAAATGGGCAACATGACACTGAAGGGGTTATAAATGGCAATCACATGATGTGTCTAATGACCATGTGGGAAAACAACCACAACTAGAACTGCCATTGTAAGTCGACATAGTCCCATGATACTGATGCAGGATCCAATCTGGATCAGTCACCGGGACCAGATTGTGCTAGACTCCGCTAGAGAGAAGTTCCCTGAGGATGAGCTCCAGCACGAGTCTGACAGCTCGGAAGTCTGAACCTGTGGTCCCAGTGACTGACCCGGATTGGATCCTGCAGCATTATCCTGGGACACATTTGTTACCATTGTTAACTAAGGACTACCTATATGACTGCTATTGATGTCAGTTCACAAATAATGTGAATATAACATTTTCCTTATAGTACAAATTACAATTCCTTCAATGAATATGGCACAAGGGTTGAAGACCAGAGGGGGAAAAAACTCAGATTCAGCTTACCCCATATTGGTCATACTGCAAAAAAACAACTATGGATCACTTTTAATGATCTGTTGAAAAATGTAGCTGAGTGAAGTGTCCATAAGACACAGTATATTATTGTTTATACAGTGGTAATCTGTTGTCAGAAGGAAACACAAAAGTAATGTTCTAAGATATACAAAAGAAAACTGAAAAGCTGAAACAGTTTGGAACAAAATACTTCAAACTGAAAAAGCAACACTATAATATCCAATCATAATCAAAGAAGAAAAAAAGGGCAATAATTGAAGAAACTTTGACTACTGTTAAAGATATGGGTAATTCTGCTATGCTTTGGGGGTGGGATAACATCCAGCAGCACAGCATATTTTGCAGATGGAAAGAGGAATAAGTTCAATTAAATTTCAGTATATCCTAGAAGGTAATGTCCCATTGTCATTTAAGAAATTAAAGTTAAAAAGAGGTTAGATATTTCATCAGGCAGCAATCTGAAACACTGCCATATCAACCATAAATATTTGCAAAAAAGAAAAAAAAGTTTTGGAATATCCTTCACATTTCCCAGAATTGATTATTGAGAATCTGAGGAAACATCTCAAACACATGATGCATGTAAGGAGACTCAAAAATATTTATGAACTAGAACAGTTCTGCAAGGAAAAGAGGGAAAGTTTCTAAAAGCAAGAAAACAAAGACTATATCTATAGGAACTTCGCCATTTCTGAAAAAAAGATTTTACAAAGTCCAAACTTTTCCACTTGCCATATTTACTTTTTTAAATTTAACTGCACATAAGTAAATATATACAACTAGATGAGGTTGCCAAAATGTTTGTATGCAAATATATGTTAATTAGTTTTGTACTGGCTGTCTCATTCTGGAAAAATTTCAGGGGAAATATAAAAGCTCTGCAATTTTGAGCTCATATCACAATTTTCATGGTAATAACTTCCTGACTGGAAAAAGACTCTTTGGATTTTTGTTCCTATTTTGGTATTAGAGCTAAACTAAATATGTGAGTTAGAAAGTTTTCTGGGGTCAGATTTTTCTGGGACAGATTTTCTACTTGGGGGAGTTTATCAGTTACAAAGCTGTGTTGTTGGTGATTGTAAACAACTGAGAAGCAGTGATTTCATGATTCTTTTACAACTAATAAATGTATTTCAAATGCCTGCACAAACTATGGGTATTAAGGTAGGAAGATAGGAAGATAGGAAAATGTTCCGATTCAAACATTTTCAGAATACCTCATTTATGATTTCATATAATTCTTCATTGAGACAATGACATTCCAATTAAAGACTCTGATGGTGTTGTTTATTTTCTTGAAATTGATTCTGTACATCAGGGCTTTTCAATCTTTTCAGAGGTTATACCACTTTTAGGACATAACAATATTTGAGTACCACTTGTGCTTAGCAAGGTGTCAAAAACTTGACAAAAAAGGGGGGGATTTTGGGCTTTACTGGTTAGATTCATTTGTTATTATAGAAATGGCTAGTTTATAATATTATAGAAAAGTAAAAGTTGAGGTTCAATGTTAATACTTCCTTCCTATTGCAACAGTGGAACTCAGAAGTCAATGCCTTTTCTTTTTCCCTTCTCCCCCTCACTTTTCCCTTTTTCTCTCACCCTTCGCTCGCAGTCCCCCACCCTTTGCTACCAAAAACCTCTCACTTGCTCCATTCACTCAAGCGTTGCTTATAAAAGCTTCTCCCTTGCTCTCATTCACACACGCTCGCAAAAGCTTCTCTCGCTCCATTCACTCACATATTGCTTACAAAAGCATCTCTTGCTCCATTTGCACACACGTTGCTTGCAAAAGCTTCTCCCTTGCTCCATTCACACACATGTTGCTTGCGAAAGCTTCTCCCTTGCTCTCATTCACACATATTGCTTACAAAAGCTTCTCTTGCTCTTTCACACGTTGCTCGCAAAAGCTGCTTCTTTGCTCTCATTCACACACATTATGCTCACACAAATCCCTTGCTCGTTCTTTCACTCACCCTTTGCTCGCAAAGGCCACTCGCTCTCTCTCTCTTTACCGCTTCTTTAACAAAAGTCTCGTCTCTCTCTTTCTCCGTGTTTTTTTTTTCTCCCACCAAAACCTCCTTTTATAGCTTCTCCTCTCTCCGCCTCCTCTTCTTCCTTGTCCGGATGTGCCAGAAGCTCCAATCAGCATGCAGCCACGCGCGCAGATCCTGGGGCTTCTGCTGAATTCTGCAGCTTCAGGTGGTCTCCTCCAGGTCTGTGTGGCACCACTTTAGCTGGTTCCCTCCCCCGCTACACTTGGCTATGAGTTGTGTACCACCTGCCAGGTGCTAAAGTTCTGCTGTACATTATGGAAATGCAGTAACCACCATGGCTAACTCTTGTTGCCTATTTTCCTTTTAAGCATAAGGTGTTGTACTACTAACAAAAAATTATTAGAATTTACTACTATCATGAAAAACACATACTAGAAATAAAACAATCAGTTTCTGCAAAGAGCAGTATCAACAGAAGAACAAATCAAGAACGGACAGTATTAAAATTATGAGATTTACCTCTCTTTAAGAACAAAGACTACTAAAGTTATTTTTCAGAAAGGACTGTTAATGCCAGTGGCCTGCTATGATAGTGGTACTTATTGTAAAGTAATTTATTGGGACTGTTCCCCTTTTTGGTATAGGCAACATCTGCCAAAGGTTTAAGTCTCCCCATAATCCTAAAAAAAGGAGATCATACTATTTCAGGCTTCTGTGCCTTCAGTTATCTCATTTTTTAAAAAAATATCTCTCCTTTCAGGAAAAAATGAACAATCTAATATGCCACTTCCCTCTTCTCAATCAGTGCTTACTTTTTCCTTCAATTAGGGAGCTTTAGAAAAAATTGGGAGCTCTATAGAGCAAGGTTGGCATCTGTTAGATTGGTCCATAAAGTAAACAGTTGGGGAATGTTTGCCATGGGATTTTGGGGTTAGGCCGAATTGGTGGTGCTCAATTACAAGAGATGTTCACACTTAAGTCTCCCCAAGGTTTTTATCAGAACCTTCTCTTTTTAAAACACAGGTTTACCACTATGGAAGTGGTCAGAGTCCATATGTTGGGTCTCTTGGTGGCTTTTCCAGTGAGATTTTGACTAGTCAGGGCAGTAAAATTTATTTCACATGCTTCCCAAAGCCATTGTTCACCTGTTAGTACACACACACACACACACACACACACAACAGTTAATCACATTCAGAGATGAAGCAATTCTTTTGGGCCAGATCAATAAAAAGATTCTTTGATGCTGAGAGAATTTCAATTGTGGTTTCCAGTTCATCGTAAAAAGAATGAAAAACTCAAAAATATTTTTGGATCGGTGGTATAATAGTGTCAAATTGAACCCATATTTGTATCTGGTTTAATCGATAGCTGGTCCAAATGATGCTGAGAAGTCTGCTGGTCTGGTTATCTCAAAGCACACCGGGTTACAGGAATCAGCGTTGCACTGAGAAGTGCTGACTCCTTTAATCATACTGAATTTTCCTTTGATTGTGCCAGGTTGGGTAGGATGTAGTTTGCATTAAATGAGTAAGCCTGTTTCCAAACTTAGTCCATTTAGCTTGATTATAGTCAATAGCTGTACATGTGTCAAAAGAAATTGTCCATAAATCTTGTGTTATTCTTTCAAAAGAAGTATAGTCTGTGCATCCTTCCATATGTCTAGATTTGAGGTGTTGGTAGGGTTTTACTGTATTGACAGGAGCATAACAAATGAATCTATCCCCCACTTTGCAAGTAGAATACGTAGTCTTGTTATGAAAAACAACTCCCTTTTTTCCCTTTAAGTATTGAACCCATGGTCTGAAGAAAGGTGTGAGGGAAACAGCAGCAACAAAAATGTAGCAATACACAGTCTAGATATTACGAATAAGTTCCGGGATAGTCCAGTCCATTGAAGCTTTTCTCCTAGTTAGATGGAACTAGTTCAATAGGAGAAGCAGGTTGAAATTTCACTTTCAGGCTGTCCAGCTGTGGAGCTTGTCACTGGAGAGGAAATGATGGGACTTTCCATGGACTCATGCTTTCATTCCTTAACTTTCACTGCAGTTGAGGTCAAGAAGACTTGGCATGGTTGGGACCACTCAGGACTGGTACTTACAGGTGACAGTTCTTTCACCTGAACCCACTTCCCAGGAACAATGGTCAGAAACAGGTGTTAGGGAAGCCTGGGCCTGTACTGGAATAGAAGACAACACCTGCGCCAGATTGTGAAAATACTGAGTAACATTCTTCTTCATTGAAATTCTTGAACCTTCGTGCAATTCTCCCATCCATCATTTCAAACAGGACAAGGCAAATTTTCCAGAGTTGAGGCATGTATTGAAATGGCCTCACCACTAGATGCCACAACCTGTCCAGCCATTGTGTACCATCCACAACATCAGCCAAAAACAAAACACATAACTCCTTCCCCTCGCAACATTCATTTCCTTCATGTACCTGCCTTCTCCATTTCAACCTCCCATGTGCATTCTCTTCTCTCAACTTTACATGAGTAATTTTTTCCCTTTAACTATTAATCTTTCTTTCCAACTTCCAAAACTATCCACAAGTCTCTTCTCCTTCTTAGCCTGGCTCAGAACCCAGAACTATAGGGAGGGAAAGCACCCCCTCAGTCTCCACTAATATTCTCTTCTCCCCATCCAACATTCACCATGTCTCTTTCTTATCAACTTTGCTATAACTGTCTATCCCACGGGTCGGGAACCCGTGGCTCTGGAGCCGCATGCAGCTCTTTCAGCCTTCTGCAGCTCCCAGCCTCCGCCATTTGCAGAAAGAGACATGAGATAGAGGCACTTACGCTTCCCTTCTCTCTCTCTCTTCATGTGGATTTGCCCCCTCGCAGGGCTCCTAGTTGGCCCTGCCCCTAGGAGAAGCGCGGCCAGGAAGTCCCTTTCCCAGGCTGGCCCCGTCCAAGGCGCACATGGCTGGGGAGCCACGTGGGGCAGCCTCAGGATCCCTCCTGGGAGCGGCCCGCTGGAGCTTCCACTGAGCGGGCCAGCCCTCCTGCAAGCTGTGGCCCTGAGGGAGCGCAGCCCCTGCGGTCCCCAGCCAGAGCTACTGTTGATGAGGGTGAATGGTGGTGGTGTACTGTGTTGTTCTGGGTCCAGTGTCAGTTTTCGTGGCTAGGACCCGTTGGTTTATTAGGGCTAGTTTCCAGATATCTGGTAGACGGGAGGTATCGTCACGTTTATTCATGTTGTGGGGGTGTTTTTCTATTTCGATGGTTTCCATAATTATTCTCTTGTTGTGGTGTTCAGTTTTGGAGAACCAAATTAATCTCCAAAACTGAACACCACAACAAGAGGTGGTGTTTTTCTTTATATACACATACACATATACATATACACATACATAATGGATCCTGAAGTTGAAACTCAAATACTTTGGCCACCTAATGAGAAGGAAGGAATCACTGGAGAAGGGCCTAATGCTGGGAAAGATTGAGGACAATAGAAGAAGGGGACGACAGAGAATGAGATGGCTGGATGGAGTCACTGAAGCAGTAGATGTGAATTTAAATGGACTCCAGAAGATGGTAGAGGACAGGAAGACCTGGAGGAACGTTGTCCATGGGGTCGCGATGCGTCAGACACGACTTCGCAATATATATAAACAATTACACTAAAAATATGATCCCTGGGTATATCCATATTTAAAACCAAACAAGTAAATGTGAGCACCAGGGAATACTAAAAATTTTAATAAAAATAAATTAAATTAAAAACCATCCTGTGTGGTTTTTGTGAGTGTGGGTCTGGTATCATTTTTTGTGTTAGGGAGTCGTTTGTCAATAAGGGCGGGTTTCCAAATGGCTGGTAGGCGGGAGGTATCATCTCGCTTGTTCATGCTGTGTGGGCGTTTTTCTATCTCGATGGCTTCTCTGCAACTCAGACTAATCTGAGCACAACCAAACAGAACACTCCCCCAGCCAATCAGAGCACAGCCAATCCCCCAGCCAATCAGAGCACAGCCACGCCCTAACCAATCAGAACACACCTCCACCCAATCAGAACACAGCCAAGCTCCCACCCAATCAGTTCATACCCCCACTGGCAGTTAAAAGGAAGAAACAGCTAAGACCACACATTGCTCCTCGAAGCACGAAGCTGAAAGCACCAGCCACAGGCTCTTTCTCACTTTGCCAGCTGTATCAGGGAGGGAAGAGACAGTTCTCCTTTAATTCTTTACTAGCAATCCAAATTTTTGAAATATATATGATGTCGCAGTTGTGACTGACATGCCTGTGGATGGCTCTAGTTTGACCTGATACAAGGTAAAAGATTTCTT